TCATCCTCATAAGTAATTTTACAATTAAACAATTTAATTAACAGAAACCAGAGTGGGATCGGAGTGAGAGAGTAATAGATAGAGAAAGAGTGAGAGAGGAATAGAAACGCGGAGAAGGAAATGTAGGCATCACGCAGCTGCAAGCATTTAACTTTATCGACGAATTTTTGTTATTTCGGCTTGTGGAAATCGTCAGATTATATATTTTTCATTATTCTTGAATTATTTCCTTCAAAATAAAAAAAAATCAGCTACGCTCGAGATTGTCGAGATGACGTTTTTTTTTACAACTTTGTTGCCCTCCCCTTTTTTTTCGTCACTCTCAAATTGTCAGATTAGTGGAATATACACTTTTTAGGGTGTAATAAACTCACCCTACCTTAATCTGACGCGCTCGAGAATTTCTGATGGTCAATTTTTTTTTACTAATCTGATCCCGTATCCTTCACGGGCGGCTTTACATATGGGCCTCATGTTTTGTGGAGGTACTTAACTGGGTACAAGGTATCCCCCTGTATATTAATCTGCCGCGCTTTAGTAAATCCCGAAATCCCCTCTTGGGCTCCCCTACTATAAGTAATTTCAACTTCCAATTAAAAACTCCTGTCCAACTTTGAATACAAATAAACAGCCCTATGCAAACATCCGTACTGGTTTCTTAGCGTTGTAAAATGTTTCCTACTGTCTGTATTACTAATTCTCTACTTAAATGTGGTTTAAAGCAGAATTTACTTGTCTCACTGTTGTCTAAATTTGATAGAATAACAATAATTTCGGCTATTATGTATTCAGTTAAATATTTTATAATTACCCTGTTCATAAGTTAATTATTTATTTTATTTGTATAAACTTTCATTGTCAGCATTGTAAAACATGACTTAATATCATATTATTGAAACTTTTCTTTCATAACTTAAGTAACTTTCATTTATATAAGATTTATATTAAAATGCAATTAATTTAAATGTTGAGCGAATACCTTTATTTCCAACTATTTTTTTTTTCTGATTGTATAATATTAATTAATTAATATATATTTTTTTACCTAAAGAAATTTTATTAAAGCATTCACCGTTTTTTATAAGCATTTAAATTTGTGGGCATATCCCGGTGACAACAATTTTCAATCACGTTGGTTCTTTCAAATCTTATCACAAATAGTTATTCTCAATTTTTTAAACTTTTTTATCGGTGAGTACACTATATTTTATAATGTTTTTTTTAATACCTTACTCAAAGCTACGCAAAGAAACTTTATTTCAAAACCGTTAAAGATTTTTCTAATCTATACTAATATTATAAAGCTGAAGAGTTTGTTTGTTTGTTTGTTTGAAAGCGCTAATCTCCGAAACTACTGGTTCGAATTGAATAATTTTTTTTGTGTTGGATAGTCCAGTTATCGAGAAAGGCTGTGGGCTATATAACATCACGCTACGACTAATAGGAGCAAAGATATAGTGGTAAATGTGTAAAAAACGGGAGAAATTATTTCATCTTTGAAGCCTTCCGTTGCGTGCGCCGTGAAAACGATTCAAGATACACAAAAAATATGTATTAAAGAATAATACCTCTTTTAATGATCTAAAAAACAGTGTGCGACAGTATGACATATATGTACTTATCGTATCTTTTAAGATTAACTCACAAAAACCGTTTTTATGGTACCTAATTTGGTCGAAATAATTTGTTTAAGTTGTATCAACATATAATATTAATCTTTATTCAAATAAACAAATAAATATGTTGTTGGTTAAGAGTACTTCATTGTGAATAAAAAAAAACATAGATTTTATCCTGAAAATTCTACGGGAACTCGACCATTCCGAAAATCACGCAAGAAAGGGAACTATGTGGGAAGAACCAAAAATCTGCCGGAAGTCACTATTCCACGCAGACGAAGTCGCGGCAAAAGCTAGTTTAGAATAAAAATACATTTGTGAAAAAATGTCACAGCTACCTTAATTAATCAAATATTGACTGAACTGAAATCATATTGCATCGGGTTGTTCATATTCAAAACTGTGAATATTGCAGATATTGGAAGAAGTATTAACAGAATAGAATAGAAGTAGACATACATATGTATATATATAGCATTTGTTGTTAAGTTGTGAAGAAATGAAAACCTTAACTTATCTACAAGTTTCAAACATAATTATTATATTTAATATTGTTTATGATAAGCTATTGATGACTGTATCATTTCTTTTATCACTAATATATAGGTCTAATAAAATAACAGGAATTATCGTCGTATTAATTTGTAAGAACAAAAGTGTATTACAAAATTACTTGATATGATTAGTCGAAATAGGTATTTTTTGTATGAATTTCGATTCGTCATAAATTTTTAATATAGCAAAGAAACGACAAAGTAAATAATGCCAATGTTTCGGTAAATATGAATACCATATGTTTTTCTACAATCTTTGTCTAACCCTTGTCAAAGTTAGGAGAATGAATAAATAAAATACTTGTGGCATAAGTAAACTTCTAAATGTTTATTATTTTATTAGATAAAAAATGAAATTATTGTAAATATACGGTAATTATTATATTAATAAAGTTGAACATTATGAATAATTACTTAAATAATTACTTAGTTATATGATAATGGCATGCGGTTTTGTACGTAGCATAGATTAATACAATCAAATACCACAGCTCATTAATGAATAGGTGAAATGTTTAGACATTTCCGCATTTGCTTCTGTTCATTACGTTATTTTTATATCAATACATTATTGATAGATTCATTTAAATTAGTTATGCTTTATATACTTTGAATTTGTCATGTAATCCCCTTTGTGACCAAATATTTGTAGCTTTAGTATACGGACACGGTTTAACAGTCAGAGTAGCATCAGGAGTTAAGCCCCATAAATTATGAAATCCCCAGTGCCTTTGCTCAGCTGTGTGCATGAGTGTGTGTCTGGTCTTAGTCAGTACATTCATATTATAGGATAAACATTACTTTATTTTTGAGAATGAAGCCGAACTAAAGAAATTTAATTATTTAGGTTAAACGATTTAAAACATAAAAGGCAAAATTCTTATTTACTTGCGAACAAATGCCAATGTTCTTGTTGCTGTCTGTCATTATAATTTTGAAATAATAATCAGACAAATTAAAAAAAGTTTATTTTGTATAATATTGACTAATAAAGATTTTGGTTATCAAAACTTTACTTTCTCCATTTAATAATTTACTGTTTTACTAACAGATTTCTAGCTACAAAAATATGTACAATACCTGAATAATTTTTAATTATAATAAAAACAGCAATATATTTGTCTTAGTCTCAACAAGATACGGCCAAGTTTGGAAGAGGTTGTTTGTTGACAACAAGAATCGCAAACTAAGCGACGTCGTCACTAGAACTATTATCTCCTTACTTCGTCAAACAAACTTGGTGATCTAAAGGTGTGGACATAAACCCTTATACTAGAAGTCACGTTTGTTTTTATAAATATATAATATGAAGAAATATATTACGGCTGTTTAGTTATTTGTTTGAACATATTATTACGTCGTGCAGAATTAATTTGAGTATGACTAAAGTTAAGTTTAATTGTGCTAAAGATACTTTCATCATCGTCATCAGTCTATCAGAGCCTACTGCTGAGCAAAGGCCTCTTCTTATATGGAGAAGATTTGAGTATTAATGACCCCGCTTGATCATGACGGGCTGGCTATTTCAAACTTATAATTTGAAATTAATTTACTTTTAGAAACTACATATGACTCGGAAAAATAACGTTGGTAACCAAGTTTCGAACCCGCGCCCTCATGCACGAGAAGCAGGCCTTTGACCTCTAGGCCACCACAACCCTTAACGAAGATAAATTAGCTCTTGGTATTACATTATTATAAATATAATATTTTAATGCAATATATGGATATAAATATATTACAATTTATGTTATTCTGATTTAAATACAGTAAAACATTTTGTAAATATTTGTAATATCAGGAAACATCAACCTATTAATTTGCAATCTGAAAATTATTGTTATATGATCACGTACTTACTCGTAAGCTTCGTAAAATTTAACCTGATTTCATATTCTATTCACAGCACATCGTCAGAAATTACTCATGTATTTAAGTCTGTTTGATTGTAACTCAATAATGGAATAATAATATAATACGTTTATATATAGATCACGTACATATGTATATGATGCAGGCACATATTACATCTATACAATATAGTATTTGCCTGAAGTTTCACTTATTTGTGTATTAAATTCGCTTAATTAAAAAGATTTTCAAGACTTTCTACAGTACGCACACTAGCATAAATAAGGATTTCAGTGCTGTTTTTTTTTATATTTTTTAAGCAATATTTCAAATTAATACTATTTAGTACCTGATTAAGATGTGAAAGCGATCTATACTTTTCTTTTAGTTTTTATTAATAAAACTTATAATCTGAATATTTTAGACAACTATAGATGCTAAGTACTTTAAATTTCTATAATTAATCTATTCAAGTAAAAACTACATTTGATTGAAAAATAATGATATACTTCAAGCCATTTAGGTTTCTAATAAAAACGTTAATAAATAAATAGAGCATGGCAACCTTTACGAACAAATTATCATTTACGTGACATAAAATAATAATATCTTGTCCTGGAATCCGGTACAACTCGTCTTCTTTCAGCTACAAAGGAGAACGAAATTTTCTTTGTGTGGAGAACTAAATGTGTTTAAATCCAGGTTTAGTTCAAATGTACTCGTCTTGGTTGTACGGACATTTATAAGTTTAGCCGAGTAGTGAAATAATTTAAGAATTTTATTTGATGAAAAAAGGACTTAATACTTTCAATACTCTTATTTATCCCAGGATATTATAGCGTTACATATAACGGTGAGGTAACATATATTGAGGAGAGAGAAACCTTAAATTAAAATATTATAAAAGTACATACTCAATTTTATTTAAATGTACACAACAGTCAATTGAAAGAAAAACATTATGACTTAGTACAAAATGATACAAGGTAACATTACACATAAAAATATTGTTAAACTATTAAAAGCTCTTTAATAGACCATTAATTAATGTTTAAATAAGATTTTAGTTTAAATAGGATAGCCAGCGTTTAAGTCAATGTAATTATTTAAATTGTTAACTTCCTTTGAAATTATAATTATTCTTGCTGGTGGAGAATACCTTAAATTCTTTGTCGTTACAGTGGTTGTGAATTGTTGTTGCGAATTCTATTGTAAAGTTGCTACAAACTAAATAAAGGACAGTTCAATGTTTGCAGCAACCTTTTTTTTACTTTCTTTTACCCGGATTAAAGCTATAAAGAGTTACAGCATTTATAAAAGATACTTTGGAGTATTTTCATTTCTTACATGATATCAATATTACAATACGATTCTTAAAATTATGAAGGAATATAACGAAATATAAGTTTAATGTTTTTAAATGAAGTTGCTCGAAACACATTTTATAAATCGTTTCTTCGGGGCGTTATCACTACGTCTATGTCATTGAGATGGCTTTATAATGCAGTAGTTTTCAAGGACTAAAAATAACAAAGGAAGAATACGAATATATCTGCATGCGATCATCCATTTAACAAGAATATTGAGGTACAGAACAGTAACAATAGTTATTTTTAAACTAATACAGGTTTCTATTGACTCCATAGTTTTGCTGACAATGCAAAGCTGCGAACGTGTTTTTTTATAAATTTTTTGATGTTATGAAAATTTAATATAAATAATGTGAATATCATCGCAATAATTGAGGGGTTAAATCGGTTGAAATTTTTTATTTAATTCTTTAGTTTAAAATTGACCTCAATACAGACTTTTTGTGATAGAAATTATAAAGTCTTTATTGAATCTCTGCTTTCATTCAGTTTCATATTATGTAATCAATTCTTTCAATAAAAAGGATAATATTCAACAATATAGCTGACATACGATTTTAACAATAGAAGTATTGACTGCACCATCTATTGTGTTATATTATCTTATCAACATTGTTACCAAAATATTCGATATTGTACTTCTCAAACAAGAATTAACGATAAACCAATATGTCTTTATGTTATTTAAGTCATACGTATTAACCACATCTGCGGTAAATAACAAATAACTGCCTAAAGATTCTCTGACATTAACGTAACATGTTATAGATATTATCATAACAAATGTCTATGTTAAATTTTCTTGTCGTATTTCATATAAGTATACTCTATAAAAACTTTGGTAACAAAAATACGTCCGCGTTAAGATAATGTTGAATTGTGATCACGTTTTCTCTCCAAAACTACATCAAATTAATTCATTTTCATATTCCATACACGAAGCATCCTCAACAATAACTCGGATGTCTGAATTTGCTGGAATGTGACTTAATGACACAATCAGGACAATTCTTTATACACTGTTCATTATTTTGTTATGTATCAAGTATTATTAAGAACTCATTGAATATGCACTTTTTAAACATAGATCAATAAAAATATCAAATCATAAACCATACACACATATTTTATACAGTTTTAAGTGTTACTTACATCAAACTTATCCATCAATGTTTATAATGCCTAATAAAATTTAATAGTTGACTGCTTTTATAATAAATAGAATACAATGAAACGAAGACATAAGGTAAGATCTGCAGCTATAATAAAATCTTCATTATGCTGAACGTCTAGGCTATTTAAGCCTTTATTAACATTTCTCCATTTAATATTATGACCAGTTATTAACATTCGTACTTTTATAAAGGAGTAAAATATCGCTTTCCTTAAATAGAAAACTATTATTTATTTATACTTAAAACCCTCAAAAATAATCATCTAGTTAACTTTTATACACGGCGAAGGGCTTTTTAAAAACAGATTTTATTTAAATATAATGTTTTTTTTTTATTTGGGAACCAATTACTAAGATTGCCTCTTATAGACTGAACTTAATATTAATACAATATCAAAATCTTAATATAAATAGTACCCCAGAGAGTCTTCCTTTTACAATAATGCTTGCTTGTTCTAATTGTTGGATGGTGGCCACCAAGAAGAGTATCGTGTAATTCTTAAAAAATGGGCCTAGGAACGATTCTAGCTGTCGAGTCACTGTATGCCATGATAACTCAATCATTTGGTTCGATATAACTACTTACTGAAAATAGATTTAAACAAATAAAAAATCTTGAAGCAAAATAAACTACTGAGCCGATTTGACTGAAAATTGGCATGGAGTTTATTAAAAGTCGAAGATAGTTTTAATTAAAACAATTAAAACTATCCGAGAAAAAAATACGCGGGCAATCCCGAATATTGAAAACAAAATATTCTGTAATTTTGAATCGTTACCTTCCACTTAGATACAATCATTGAACCCTGGTGTCATTATCATGATAACAGCCTTTTAAGTCATTTTTTTTAAAGAAAAATAATCAATAAAATTCGTTCATAACGAACAGAAAACTTGCATACAAAATGTGAACTTGAAAAACCTCCACCCATTTTTTAGTCAGTTATATAACACATTTTACATTGAAAGGAGATTTTATTGCAAATATACTTTATTACAAACAACCTTCAGTGAGGGTTAAATGATAGTGCAATAAATATGCGAAATCTGAAAAAAATTATATTGTTTAAGATTATTTGTTCCAATTTTAAGACTTGAAGATTTCGTTTAGAGTTTATTCTTTAGATTTTCTTGATTCGCTTTCTTTTTATTTAAACAATTAATAAATGAGGTATGCAGTGCGAAAAAGATTACATCCCATGTATTTATTTATCGAGTAAATAAAAGATTAATATTTATTTTTAAAAAATCTATAAACCCTATATTGGATTTTCTGTATGCTCTAACAGAGCAAATATTTTGCAGTATTTAGTTATTTGTATTGCAATCAAAGTTAACAAAGGGATAAAGATTTAAAAATGTATGTTGTATTCATATTCAGCAAAAAAATATATTTTTTCTGTTATATTTTCCAAAAAAATATATTTTTTAAATCACAGAGCCAAACAATCGGAAGTCAGATTTTTCAAGGATAAGTAGCAAATATATAATACATGTACAAGTATAAATACATGTACAAGTTATAAAAACAATGTTGCACTCTGAATCTAAAATCAAAAAGAGAATGGGGTTAAAAAAAAAAAACAAAAACAAAACAGTGTCGAATCGGTCCCAAATGGAATTGAATTTTGTTCATACAGCAAATTACACCTGTGATACCCATATGGTACTCTTTGACTACAAGACAAAAGTATTATCTGATTATTTTATTAAGTAGTATACATATATTAGCTGAAATTCATCATGATATTTTTGTATTATGTTACAATGATAAGTATTATACGATAAAAGATTTAATGGTTTCCGAAGATTAAGAACGGGCTGTTGAGATTTATAACACTAAGACAGTTTTACAAACTAAAGAAGTTTCTAACGGTTGGTATAAATTGAGGACTAACGACAAATTCAAGACTTCTTCGAGTCTACTTGGCTTGCATGAAAAATTTACGACATAGAGCAATAATAAAAGTAGTAAAATAGCTGTTCTAGTAAAGTAATATAGATATATTTATATTTCTTGATATTATTTGAACAAGATTAACGTAATAATAAAACAATATCTGTATTTGCATAAATTATAGTTTATAAATTTGCTCCACTTATATTTTCTTAGTGTAGGAAATTGTTAATAAAATTTTTAAACTGTACAGAAGGTTTCTAATAAAGAAATTGTAATCAAATATTATGAAACTAGTCTAATTGGCCCTTTGTTGAGCAATTTGTGTATGCCGTTACTATCGCCGGGGGACCGGAGGTCACTCGAACTTCACAAAACAGATAACCTAACTGCGTCACTGAATTGTGAACCCTATTTTACAAATTGTAAATAAATGCACAGAAATGTTGTATATTTAACTGGGAGCGATTCTCATGTCGGATAAATAATAAATTTTTTTTACAAATTAACATTATTCCTGCGTAAAACCATGTTTGCTGTAAAAAACTTTTAATATGATAGGGGAAGCCACTAACACATTTCCCAACTAAAATTTCATCCCTAGGTGCCTGTGGTATAGCCTACTACGCGATAGAAGGCCCAGTCCTTATGGTTAAGATGCTTAAGCAGGAGACCAACAACTGGCGGGATAACCAGGCAACAGTAGCATACCCATCCAGAGTTGAGGTTAGTCAAGCTAAGGCTTTTAAAACCAGAGGAAACCTCAACAATTTCCAGGAAAATTATAAATGGATGGCGATCAGATGAGGACATACATCTCAGGTACACGCGCAATTATAGCACCCAAAATCTGTCTAAAATCGGCAAGCATTGTCGTATTGAGAATGTGTGCGACGTAAGAAAATGACTCAAGATTAGAGCCATGTGCAGCCGTGCATTAGAGATATAGCCAGCAGTCGATAAAAAGGAAAAGTTACATTTGGTTGTAGCTTACTTCATAGGATGGATATTCTAAGTTCCCTTTATGATTTAATAGATGTATTAACATCGGATATTCAGAAGGAAGCATCTTGCGGTTTACTGTTCCCATGAGTTGTACTTGTGAGGGATTGGTACACACCAGACTTGTTAAATTGGAAGTAAAACGTGATATAAAATTCCGCCGGCTCAATACAAAGCAGAAGCTTGTGATTCTAGCGATTTCTTTAGTTTTACTTCAATCGTCTTATAGACGGTGTATAACTGGGGCTCTGCTTCAAATGTATCTCGGTTCTATCTTGCGAAACGACGGATATATTGACCGAGACGTTGTGAGGCGAATAAATGCTTGGTGGATGAAATGGCGACAGGTTTCGAATTATTAATTATTGTAAAGCTGTATGAATGATTAATGAAATGTAAATTAATACCTTCAATAATTAATAACGCTCGGCTTTCACATTATTGATATTCTTATACACGATACACAACATGAATAAGTTAAATGCCACAATTTATCATTGTATTTAATTTTGTGGTATTTTTAAGTCCTATATTAACTTTCTTATAAGACGCTTCAATTCCAAGGACAAAAGTTAAGAAAATGTATAAACAGCAGTTTTAATGTAAGATAATTTAAAAGAAATACATATAAAATTACCTTATATAAATTTACTAAAATCTCACCATTTCACAAAAACATTTAAGTATTTAATTGAGTTAGAGACTAAATTTCTAAATGTTATAACACTTTATTTAACTTGCAATGTATAGTAGTAATAATTATGGTTCATTTGGAAACTTCAACTCAATTTTGAATTTGATATCAATGCTTTAAAAAAAAATTCACTGTTGTCTAGGACAATATATAATATTTGATTATTACGTATAGAATATTAATATAACGGGGGTTACATCAGCCTAAATTCTATAAGGTAAAAGACAAAGAAAATATCTAGTAAAGTTGCATTTTCCTTTTGCTATGCTTAATGAATAAAAGACAAACAAAAGCATCTTTTAACCGTTTTTTAACTGAAATATTTTGATTTATTATAAAGTTGACATATGTGTATATTTAAAAATGAGCACAGTCTATCTTCACAAAATATGCATAATAGATCCCAAAAAAACAGTATTCCATAGTATATACAATATATATACGATATATATACAATATATGTACATCAATATATATACGAAGTTTCAAATTCAATTCAGATAAAACTGGATAATGAATATATTGTCTAAGTCGAACATTTTGGGATTTACTTCCCTTTCAAACTATTTTTTGAGTAAAGACATGAAATACTTTCATAATCATAAACTATCAAACCCATGTGATATTTAAAGTATAATGTTATTTGAAATATACTTATATTTGGAATCAAACCTAAAACAATACTTCGACATATTACTACATTACTATAGACATTTTATTTCTATCGTCATGTCAGAATATTAAACGTTTGCATTCTAAATATTTTTATGACAAAAGACATTACAGAATATACCATCTGACAAATAGTGGTTACTGTTACTAGGAGCATGTCAAAAATGCCTTGCATCGACAAAAATATCCATGGAATTGTGCAATAAGGGTATATGAGAAAATATTTAATTAATTAATATCAATATAATATGTTTATATTTTAAACCACTACGATATTGTGTATCTAAAACTTAGAAGATTACTTCTCTATTAAAGTTAGAATTTTATATAAAAAATTGCTTCCAAAGATACTTGTGTATATACCAACCAAATCAGAAAATACTTCTCAGTATGATGTAACAAATGAGTTTATAACAACTGCTTGAAACTAAAGCTTCATTTGCGTTTTTCCTTTTCTCCCTGTGATTATCCATGCGATGTTGTAAAGTTAAAAAGTTGTTAAATGTTTGGAATGAAAAGGCTTTAGAATGGATTATTTCTTTCTTTAAAAAATATAGAGAATATTTCTTATCATGAATATTCTGTTACTCTAGTTTAAATTGTCTTAATAAATCAATCATTGACAATTTTCGTGGTACTTGGAGGTTTGGTGGTGTGCAATTATGCATTATTGTTTAACAAGGAGAATTTTTTAAATAATCCTATAGTTAAAGTGAATATGTAATAAAACAGTATAGAATTACTATTTAAGTGTTCATTAAAAACATAATTTAAATCAGAGAAAAAAACAAAGTCTCATGATCCCGATACTTATTTCAATTCTTAAACCCAAAATATAAACCATTTATCGAAAATCTCAACATCATATAAATCAGCAGTGCAACGATTACCTGACTTTTCAGAATGTGAAAGTACAATACAATTTGGGAAAGAGTTCATTGAAATACAAGAGTTATTTTGTGACTTAAATAAGAGAGGCCAAAAATGGTTTTAAAATGAGTAGGATGATCAAAAGAATGATGATTAAAATGTTTCTACACAACATCCTAAACTATTCGCATCAAGATTGAAACCTTAGATAAATTAATCTATTGAATAAAGAATAAAAATTGAAATAAATAAACAGAAAGCAGGAGAAGCTTAGGCTGTAAGATTAAGCTTTACAAAGGAATATGAAACTAGTTTCTAGAATAGGGATGTAATATCTCACTTTTGTTGAAAACTTAATTAAGCAACAGATTTACTTTCACAACAGATTAACTTAAAACTAGTGTCATTAATAAACTTACCGAAAATTATCTCACATACAATATAAGTTATCATACAAGAAAAACTTATAATTTATAATTTGAAGTACCCTACTACTGGAATTTCAAAGATACTTATATAAAAAAACGATTACTTGTTATAAACCGATATTCAGTTAATTAAAGTATCCAAAATTTTACTCCTTCCATGATTCTATATTATCTTGATTGTGTCAATTTATAGGACGTGTTTTGAAAAGAGTAAGATAGTTATAATATTTTATATCAAAATTATGTATGTATTCTTTTTAAAAAGGCCTTTATAAATTTTTCATCGTACTATACTTACGTCAACGCTTTCATTTTCTTAATTATAATTAAAATATAAGGTATTAACATAAAATCATATTCCATATACCTTTGATTATGATTACTTAGTAACCTTTTACTATGTTTTTGTTTTGTCAATGACCGTCGTTTTGTAGACGTGAACAAACATCGTTTTAATTGGCGTTATTAAAATTCGTTAATGGAATTCAATTAACGGAATTGGTTCAAGCAATTAATTGAATTTTCAGTCAATTTAAAAAAAAACTTGTATCGAAACGAAGTTCAGGAAACTGAAACAAAGAATGTCGTTTCAGGCATTTAAATTGTTGTCATAAAATCGTTTTATAGTGACATCAATCATTTATTTTAAGTAATAAGAATGACTTCGTATATTTTTGATCAAAATTTTAATGGAAATCTATGAATATAACTTCCAGGTATCTAACCAGTGTCGTGAAGAAGGCTTGATTGCTTCATTGAGTGCAAATCCGTGGTTTATATTTCTTATACTGAAAATAAGGAAACATGTTTCTTATAAATAATGTTCTCCTTAATTACCAAGATATCGTACATTTTGTCTACTTTTTTCAATACAAAAATCTAAACTTGTTTATCTATTTGAGAGCTAATGTTAGGAAAGTCCTAAAATGAAGCCACGACGTTTTCAGTCTCATTGATTTAAATGACTTTTAAAATACTAGAAAATATAAATGTAATAAGTAGTCATAATCTTTAAAAGTCACATTCTCTTATATTAAAAATGTCGTACCTGTTTATAAAGTAAGAGTGTACGCTTTAGTGATTCATATTCGCTAAGATAGAAAGCGATGATTATTTTTACAAGCACATATTTCATTCTATAACAAATATTATGAACAAATACTCATACTTTACTTTAAACTGGTAAACTAAGTCTTTTGCTGACTCAAACATAGATAACAAGATGTTTTTATCTAAAGTGATTTAATTTATAAATAAATAAATGAAATATCTATATGTTCGTGTAAATGGTTATTTGTAGACTTTGGGAGAAATGTTTTTTTTTATATTTTAGTTTTATAGTCTTTATGTAATCGGGTCAACGAAATTTTAAAAATTAATAGATCATTTCCGAATGACTATTTAGCAACAAGTTATAGAAATCTCAATAAATTAAGATTTTACTATATTTTTATTCTACGACATTAGAATAAACTTAATTTGAACCTGATAAAGCATTTATAACTCATTTCTGTGAGATATTTAATTTGTCCTAATTGATAAGAATCAAATTCGTTATCATCGGAATGGTTACCAAAAATACTTTTGATTGACTATATTCATAAATATTTATCAAAAGGCTTACCGATTTCGACTCGGATTCTTGTAAATTTTTATTGACATTCAATCAGTGCCTTACTCTGTAGCAAATACCTTTGACTAAATTTATTTCGAAGTGACAATTCGACATTCTTAGTATTTTGATTTGAAAGATATTATTAACTATTATTTTATTACTGTTGACTATCGAATAGCCTTTATGAAACAATTCAGATTCATTTATTAACTTATACAGACAGAAAACTTATTTGATTGTTATACATTAAAGATATATAGCAAAGTAGCTAGATTTATCAAATTTAATTAATCTTTTCCGTACATTAATAATTACTTTAATATAATCCATTAATAAATTCAGACTAAATCCCGTCCATCCCGCAACAGTACTTAGAATTAAGACTTTACTCCTCTTAATTATAATACACTTTTAAGAAAGTATAAACCGACTAACTCAGATAAGTGTCTTTTTACTTGAATTACTAGTATGAAACTACTAATACTAGTTCATGAAAATTTACAATTTTTTATAAAAAAAAGTTCCC